AGAGGCTGGCGGGCAGCCTGATCCCCACTAGCAGCTCATTCTCAGCCATGTGAGAGAAGAAACATCCACAACGAGAGATGGAGTTAGAACTTTATTAGGAGAAACCTAGACACGACTGACTAAAATCTCATGCTAAGGAAAACACACAGGTCTTTTCAGGATTAAAAAATACAAATATATAAAAACTTACAAACAAAAACATGGTTTCCCCCATCTGAGTGTGAATGTGTATTTAAATGTACAGGGAGCTGTACCAAAGCTGTGTATCAGGAGCAGGGATTCACTTTCAGTGGCCCTAAGAGAGGGAATGGCTCAGTCCCCTCATCAGCTGGTCCCAGGCCATTTGCTTGTGCAGTCTGGTGTTGGGAAGCTGTGGCCTGTGTCTGAAAGGGCAGTGCAGGGTAAACAACAGGGAGCAGCTTGGCTCTGTTTAGCAGATCTTTAACAGAGGGATGTCAGCTCTGCACTGAGGAGATGTATGTGGAGTGGGAGCTGCCTGCAGACCTCACCCACCAGACTCACAGTGCAGCCTCAGGCCCCAGGGGCTGCTCTGAGAAGCTGCAGCAGTGGAAAGACCCTGTCCCATGGCTGATTTCTAGCACTGTGTGTGCTAAGGATGAGTGGAGAGGATAGCCTGGTGGCAGAGCAGAGACTTGCCGTGGGGACAAAAAACTTGACCTGTACTGGCTGGCAAACTTGAGAGAGCCACCAAGATTAGAATGATGTGCAGGACCTGAGCAGGACTCTTGCTGCTTGCAGAGGATCCTAAAGTGTTTTGGTAGGTTGGTGAGAAGACACAGGCCGTACCTCTTCTGCAGATAAACAGAGGATGCTTTTCTCTCAAGTGGGCAGCTGGCAGCACCCTTTCAGCAGAATTCAGGTTGCTTGAAAGATGAGTTTCAAAAAGGGGAAAACCACTTTGTTTCTACATGATACTTGTGAGATATCTGTTCTCACAGAGTCTCTATTTCTGTTAATGGATGTCTTGCTTAGGATTGATGACATATGTATCTTGGGAAAATTCCCCAGTCTTCATCAACTGATCATCTAAGTGATTTCCCTGGGGCCAGTCTGCTGTGCTGACTTAGGAATGAGGAAGGGATTCCAATGTTAGACATGAGGCAGCTGTGCACTGGAGACCACAGATGTCCTTATTTATGGGGAGGAGTTGTTATATACACAGTGTCAAAAATTCAAGTAGGATTTGTTATCTAGGTAAACTGGTATAAAATATCTGGACTCAGGTAGAGAAACGGAGGGTTAGAAAGAGCCAAAATGAAGCAGATGAGAAAAATCTCTCTTTCAGAAAGCCGACTGGTGTGTTTCTGCTCCCTGCAGGTGAGAGAAGCTTCAGCTCAGTATAACTGCCAAGGTGATGTTGCAAACAGAGACCACAGAAGATGCAGAGATCCAGTCAGTCTGTGAATACAGTATCGCAGTGGATACTCACTGGGCAGGAGTCTGCTGGCCCTTGCTCTACCAGGCTAAGGGTGGGGAGTCTCTAATCCCTGTGGGTCCCATGGTGAAAATACAGCTGAGGGCTTCATATTCCGAGATTGGTGTCTCTCTTCAGTGCTGTGGCTGCCCTTGCCTTGAGCTGTGAGGTGTGCTGTCTGGACAGGATAGAGAGAGGATATTAAAACAGGGAGGTTAGGGGTGAGAGTTTGGAGTCCACTTTGCAGAAGTTTTACTGAGCGCTGGGACAGCTCCTTCTCCTCATCCCTGCTGGAGACGGGTCACACAGACAAATCATCCGACCTTGCCTTGCTGCTGGCACGGCTGGCCTTGCTGAGCCGGCGTTTCTCGTTGAAGTAGTTCTCAGGGAAGGCAGGTGCCGCACATTCACTGGCCACCTCTGGACTCTCCACATAGCTGGACTTAATGAAGGGCCCTTCCCCAGCAGCATCCTCCTGGCTGTGGACCCTCTCAGTGGCAAAGTTGGCGGTGTTCTGCTGGGAGGCCATCTTGTTGCTGAAGGGGCTGATGAACTTCCCGTTGGGACTTGACAAGCACTGGTTAAAATCCGGCGGCGGGGTGTACATCTGTGGCCTGTCTGCCTGCGGGGCAGACTCTAGCCTGCCGGGGGCTGTGCTGGGGCTGGATTTGTAAGACCTGGAGCACCTCTCCTTGGCTTTCTTCCAGCCCAAGTGGTACAGCTCGGCCAGGCTGAGGAAGAGGGAGAGCACTGCCACAGCCAGCATGAAGACGATGAACACGTTCTTCTCCGTGGGGCGGGACACGTAGCAGTTGACAGGGTGGGGGCACGGTGCCCGCTGGCAGATGTACAGGGTCTCCAGGAAAATCCCGTACAGGATGTACTGCCCCACAATGAAGGCCACTTCCATGGCAGTTCGAATCAAAATGCTGTAGACGTAGGTGTTCAGCAGGCTGCCCCTGAGTATGATTTGGCCTCCTGCTTCATCCCAGCCAGACAGCTTGGTCTCCTTCTCTGCCACGGAGCACTTCTGCTGATAGTATGTGTCACCACCATTTTTGTTCTCTCGGGCCTCTATTTCTGCCTCCTTCATCTTCCTCTTCTCCTCCATGCGCACCGTGTGCATGGCATGGCCCATGTACACCAGGGACGGGGTGGACACAAAGATGATCTGGAGGACCCAAAAGCGGACGTGGGAGATGGGGAAGGCCTTGTCGTAGCAGACGTTCTCGCAGCCGGGCTGCTGGGTGTCACACATGAAGTCAGACTGCTCGTCCCCCCAGGAGGACTCCGCCGCTGTTCCCAGCACCAGCATCCGGAAGATGAAGAGCACAGTCAGCCAGACTTTCCCCACCACTGTGGAATGTTTGTGGACCTTCTCGAGGAAGTCTCCCAGGAAACTCCACTCCCCCATTTCTGCTCAACAGGAGGGGTGAGAATTCTTGAGAACTGAGCAAGCCTCTGTTGGGAGAAAACAGAGAGTGGTCCTAAGGAGGGTTAGGAAATTCCCAGCTGGTAATGGATGGAGTGAAATAGATTTTTTTGTTTTGTGTCAGAGGAAATGTTTTCATTTGACCTGAAATGAATGATGTCTGGTTTGCTGAAAACTTTGTTTCACATCTGCTGGAAACCTTGTGTTTTGTTTGGGATTTCTTTTTCTTTTTAAATTCAGCTACTGAAACAAAAAGTGATCTTTTTTTTTACATAACTCATCTACAGCGTGTTAAATGAGTCCCCAAAACCTTGAGGGTGAGCCAGATTTATTTTTGGTTCAGAAAATCCTTTCACTGTTGTCTGCATATTGCATCCTCTGTGGACTGGATAGTTAAAGCAGCATTCATCTGTCTGTAGACTGCACTCTGGGAAATCCTTAGTGGGCTGATCCCCTGGGAGATAAGAGTGGAATCTACAGCCTGGCCTGAGCAGTGGCACTTTGTGTAATACCTGCACCAACACCTGGAATGTGAAGTGTGTGCAGCTCTGGGTTTCCTTTATGAGCTCAGTGCCACCACTGAAGTGCAGTGAAAACCTTTCTGTTGTCCACCTGCTCGCCGTCTGTAGGTTTTGCTTTGGTTTTGCAGTGCTTTCAGCTGCAAGTGTTTCATTTACACACTGCAAATGTTTAGGGGAGTGTAAAGACTCTGGTGGGCTGTGCCAGTTCTGGAAACCTAATCTGCTGCCACCCTGCCATACCTCTCTGAGAGGGAACTGCTGCAAAATCTATATGGTGGGTCTTGCTCCTTCTGCTTTTCTTAAATTATGAGGAAAATTCACAGTTCAAATGAAACAGACAAAGAAAAAAGCCTCCTTTGAAGTGCCTCCCAAGGACCAGCAACTCCTGGGAAGTGCTGTTGGTAGGTGGTCTCATGACAGGAAAGGTTTGCTAGACTGGAAGAAAGATTGAAAAGTGAAAATGAAGGAGAGCCTGCTTCACATTTGTTTCTGACTGTTTCTGGCCAAGTCACTTAACCTGATGGATAAAAAGAGAGCCTGGGTTTAGTCCATTTGTTGTGGGGCAATCATTTAATCCAGTTATGCTCACCATACTTACCTTCCCAGGGCATTGCAAAGCTTTCCCTGGTGAGAGTTAAGGGCTGGGTGCTATAAAGTGTGCACTATTACCTTGGAGCTAATGTCCTCCCACAGTCATTCTTTTGGAAAATAGCGTTTTAATAAGTAAGTGTAAAAATAATCATCATAATGGAATATTAAAAGCACTAGTCAAGGTAAATCCCAAAGCCACAGGGACCAAATTGTTAACTCTCCTTTATTGTTCCTTGTCCTGTCTTTAGGAGCCAATTATTTTTATAGTGCAAAGAACATTTGTGGAGAGCAGACACTGTTAAAAGCTGAAAATTTACTGTAGCAATATTGTGTAGATTTCCTGTGAGCAAAAGCTGGAGAACAGATACACTTGTTGAGGGAAAAATATCCCCTCCTCTAGTTATGTGAGTGATGTAATTTAATGTAGCAGCACACACCATAATTCATCCCATCGTTTGTTCCTGTGCAGCTGTGTCCAGCTACAAGGATGGATGGGACAAAGATCAAAAGTTGAATTTTCAAATTCCTGGTGCTGCTGAGGGCTGCCCTGGGGAAGGTGAGGATTGGCCAGGAAAGGAGACAGGGCAGTGGCCACTTGCTACCCCACCACCTGTCAGAAGCCATGTGAGCAGGGAGAAGGGACATACAGGAAGCAAAGGATGGGGTTTGGTGCTTTCCTGCCCTGGCAGACATGCTGCAAACATGCTGATGGAGATCCTGGTGGCTGCTTGGCATATGCAGAAGCTTTGGTCTGCTGCCAGCCCAGAGCTGGAGGAGCAGTAACACAGAAAATCATCTGGTCTTTCTGACTCTTCTTGTCTGCACTGGTGGAAACTGGTGAATGTGTGGGTTTGCCTTACCTTCTGAAATGGCTTTGGTGCAGTTACTGCATTCTGGAAAAATTTGCATATGGCTTCATTCCAGGAGCACCAGGGGATTAAATACAGGCAGATAAATCAGTGATGGGAAATATTTACAGAGTGTGGCACTGAGATCAGTGTGTTTGCTTTTTTTCCCCCAGAGTGCAGAGAAGGCAACCAGCTACCTACAGCTCAGTGTTAGGTGTCCAACATCACTGTGCTGTAGCACAGCTGCATGTGTGGAATATTCCTTACAAGGCAGCACTTTTTCAGGTGAGTTTATGTTGTTTACACATGCCTTTTCTTGTTTCACCTTCCTTGGTGGTGTAAATATGAACACAGTTCTTCCTGGCTGTGCACAGGCTGTTTTTACTTACTGCCACAGGGAAGTACAATCACAAACTGAGCCCCTCTTCCCATCCATTCTACTATGTGCAGGTTGTTTGGGGTTTTATAACAGCTTGCTTTCCCCAGGGATGGCTACTAAGCCTAGACACTTGCGAATTGTAAAAATCAGGATGTGGAGGACACAAAGTAAAGCAAACATCAGCACAAGAGGAATCCAGAAATAAAAAATGTTAATGGATGCAAGAAGAACAGCCATTTACCTGTCTCACACATGCACAGAATATTTCAAGAGGTTGTAAATCAGAAGGATCTGAGACTGGTAGTCATGAGGCTTAGGCTAGATAGCAGGGACATTTCCTCTGCCCTCCCCTGCATAGACCGTCTCAAAGAAGGGACGGCCTGGAGGTGCCTCCTGATCATCCTGCTACAGCCCCATAGAGAGCTGAGGTGGCTGCTGTAAGGGCGTGGGTGGCCACAGGGGAACAGATTTTGGCAAGAGAAGGAGTTTCCCTCCTAGAGCACCATTTTTTGCTTAGACATTTGATACTTATTAGCGAGCTATTTTTGCAGCACCAGACCAAGGGTCTTTGAGAGCATCTAGTTCTTTGCTGCCAGCAAGAAAAGAAAGATTGTCACCTCCTGACAGCTTTTCCTGGCTATGCAGAGCTGCCCCTGACCTAGCCTTTCTCCTCATAGCTTTACTATTCTTGGGAATTTTCCATATAGTTCCTTTTCCTCAGTCCCAGACTACTGTTGCCCTCACATGCTTTGACCTCTCAGTGACTGAGCATTTGCGGCCTTTTATATTCCTACTTTGGTCTCAGTTGGACAAATCTCGTCTCACTCTGGTGTGACTGGGCAATAAGCACCTCTGGGTATTTTTGTGGACTCTCAGCACCTAGTAGAAGACAGTCTTGGCAGCAGGGTCATGCATATTCATGAGCAGCCGTGGTCTGTGCCACTGCCCTTCCATGCTTTCTCCTGGATCCACACGGGAGCTGGGCGCCATCACGGGACCCTGGCACCGGGAGAAGCGTGTGTGACACAGAGCAGTACAGCTTGGCACAGACCCAGCGGCGTGGCCAGCCTGCCTCTGTCATCACCTGGAACGCCACTGAAGCTGAGGAAAACTGAGCATCACCCCACAGGCCAAGCATGGAATCTGCTCAGCTCTGGGCTGCCTTGTGACTGCCAAATTCCATGATAAAAATACCCCAGCGGGGAGGGCACCTGCTAGTACGCCAGGCTGGCTCGCCAGCCATGGGCTGCTCTCTGCCATTCCTTTTTAGCACTACCTTTATCTGCGGGAGGGGAAGTGTCTGTTGCCCTCTGAGCAGTTTTTCCCATCCTCTTGGTGATGCCACGTGCTCTGAAGGACAGGGGAGCATTTCACATCACTGCTGCTTGCTCCAGCCAGCACGCTCATTCTGGTTGGAGCTAGCCAGGGCTCTGATGAACAGCTAACAAATCCACACCAGAGAGCCAGGAGGGCTGTTCCTGTGCAATCAACTTTATATGAGTTTATTTCCCTGGGGGTCGCTAGGAAGAAAGTTTTTCCCTCTTTGAGACTATCAGCAGTGATATAAATAGCTGAGCTCAACACTTCAAGCTAGTTTTTCCCACAAGGAAGGTGACAGGAGGTCGCCATCTCTGCGGGATGTTTCTAAAATAAAGTGGAGAGTCTGATTATAACACTGTTTCTGCTCTCCCTTGCTGGGCTCACCTCTTCCCTGTGGCAAATCCCAGGGGCAGGTGGAGAGGCTCTCTGAGGAGGTCTCCTTTGTGTGAGGCAAGCACAGTTCCCAGGGAGGGGGAAAGTTTTGGATTCAAAGCCATTGCATTTTTGCCAGTCTCTGTGGTTTGCTCGATCAGGTACAAATGTGTGTCTCTGGGAATTAATGAGATTTCACAACGAAGTGGAGGGCCCAGGATGTTTTAAGAAGCTCACATTCCAGACATGTGGCTGTGTGTGGATGCCATGCAAGAAGTGCATCCCCTCCAAGCTACTGAGTGAGGAGGCAGCTGTCCCCTCTGGATACTGGACATGTGAGCAGTGACATTGCAGTGGGGCATCCAGGCTGGCTGGGGCATGGTCAGTGCCTAAGATTTGCTCATGGCTTTTCTCCCTCCATTTGTGTTATCTCATCCAGGTCCAGGCCACACGTGGCACAACAGATCATGGTGGGTGTGTGGGCAGAGATCTTTGCCCTGTGCTGACACTTGTTAGGCTGAGCCCAGACAGGAGTGGGGCCCGCACTGCTAAACTGTGCACACACAGCTGTAGGCACTTGGGAAGGACATTTCCAGCTCTGCACTGGAGGTTGGTTAATGCTGCTTTACTTTAGGATCTCCAGCTCCTTGTTAGTAGCATCAACATCCCATGCAGTGCAGATGTCACCTCTGCTTGCAGATGGTGGTCACTGGGATACAGAAGGGACAAACTGCTTGTTTGAGGTCACTGTGTTAGAGACAGTTTGGGGACAGAGCTCAGAGGTTGTGACTTGTGAGACTGTGTCCTTTTTCCTATGCAGCACTGCCTCTTAAACCTCATGACAGCAATACAACACTGCTTCTACTGCATATCTGCTTCTACAGCCCACAGCCCTTCTCTCCTGTGCCCTCGAACAACACTGACTTGGCTACCTGAAAGAAAACCCTGTCCTGCTGCCCTATAGAGGGTACACCTGGCAGTACCAGAGGTGTTCTGTTTTGTTTGGTTTTGTTTTGCATTGTGGTGACATGTGCCTTACAACGTTAAATGATGAATAGAGTTAGAAATGCACTGTACAGAGTGGGTGTGGTGCTTTGGATTACAGAGGATTTGTGGTGTTAAAGACCACCTCAACAGATATCTTTTTGTCCAGAGTTTACTGGCACTGGCTCCTTCCTATGGATATACAATAGATGAGCAACAACCTATTAGGCATTTTTGTCCAAACACCATCTCTCTGGCTTCATATGTGCATGCATATGCTTATGATAAGTTTCTGCCTGAACCAGGCCAGTTCTTGAGCCAAATTTGTAACTCTGATCTGCACATGAACCTGGAATAAATAGCCTTGTACTTATGCTTTTAAAGAAAAATAATTGACATGTTTGCATAGGTTCCATTCTGTTTCCTTGGGTTCAAAATCCTGTGTTGAGCCAGTATCAGAGTGACTTTGACTCTAGAGCTGAAATCTCATGGGAGAAGAGCAGCTCTGTGTTAACAGCTCTTGTCCTAGAAGACAGACATCCAATGTTTCTTATTTTTCTGCTCCTCCCAAGTTCACTGTAATTTCTGGAAGGGTCATACTGGTATCCAGACCACTGGCCCTACTTGTAGCTGCAGACAGCTTGTTATTCTTGACGAGGTGTGCTTTCCCCTCCTCTCCAAATGTGGAAAATCTCAGAGTTCACAAAATGAGAGTGGGTGAGAAGATAAGGGAGTTGAATGACCCGTCACCTCCTGCACACACAGGCACACAACCCTGATGCACAGAGGGACACAGACAGGGGGGAATCACTCAACACCTTCAAGTGTGTACATCAGGGATGTGTTACACACACAGATGATGATAATAATATGTAGAATATTTTCATCTGAAGTGATAGTGGAAGGTGCAGACTCCCAGTCAGTTGAATTTTTATTGGTTTTCTGTCCAGAACATCTAATGCTATTCCTCCCCCTGTACTTTCATATATCCAAATATTAAGGCCAAGCTCTGCCTGATGTAGTCTCAGGAGACCAAGAACAGAAGAGACCTTGAACTCAGATGAGTCAAGCTGAGGGATGAATTTATCCCACTATATTTGAAAAGCTGGCATCAAATTGTTACATGATAGTGGTATCCAGGCTTACATTTAAAATGCAGGGAGCATCTTCTAATTCTCTTGGGATTCTCTCTTGGTCTTAGAGAAATGTGGGTCCTTAGAGACAACAACAGATGTGGGATAAACTTGGGATAAACTAAATGAAGAGTCACTGTGTTTTTTCTAGGAAAAAAAAAAAGAACCATAAATCCTCTCTCTAATGTAAATGCTGGAAACTTGATGCTCTTTCCAGTATTTCTCTTTGCAGAGAGAAGCTGACCTGTATGAAATTGCAGATGAGACTAAATTGGGCAAAGCAGAAGTGAGGAGATAGCCAAAGAGGGCATAGGGAGCTCTGGAAAACAAAACCAAGCTGAGAAATTTGGGGGCTGCTGTAGTAAAAGCTGTCCCTGAGTTCTGCTGAGAGATGCTGATCCCAAGCACTGCTCAGTCCGTGGGGAAGGCTGGTGTAAGGAGATGTTCAGGGATGGCAGGCTCACACTGGGCACAGTATAGAAGCAATTAAACCTGCCCATGTGATTTTAGGTTCACAGACTGCATGAGATGCAACTCGTTATAGTGCTGAAATGAAACAGACTGGAGAGGTAATGGGAGAAGGAGAGAGCTCTCATTCAGACTTTTCCTGTCCTTTCTTCCTTCCTCTCACCCCAGTACCCCAGCATCTCCCTGCCTATCAGTTCCCTGTGGTTTCCCTACTCAAGCTCACCCCAGAGTATTGCTTGAGTTTTTTGGCAGTTTTGACCAGCTAACTCTACACAGCACCCAAATTGCTAATTCTTTCAGCCTTAGAAAGGAGAAATTTTCAGCCACTATCTATTTCTCACTTATTACTACCTTATCAAATCTCATTTCTTCTTTCTTTCCAAAAATCTGTAGGATTCTTTTCACACTCCAGCCTCATTGCTGTATCCTTGCCTCAGTCTGGCTATGTGAAAAGATTATTTTTTGTAGTGTATGCACCATATGCACAAAAATACAACCCCCTTTGAAACCAGCTAATACTACATTGGCAAAGCCCAGCAGTAGGGAGTTAGGAAATACCGGGGTTAGTGTTCTCAGTAATCTTAATTCAATCTCTTTGTGCCTGTGCCTCTTAGAGTCCTTAACCACATCCTCACATTGTCACCTCATTCTTTGCACAGGATGCCTGCCTTGTTCTGTGCCAGCCTGGCGGGGGCTTTCTTGAACAGCAGCTATTCAATGTTTTATTTTCTCCTCATTGTTCAGTGGGTGGCCTGTGCCTCATTTACTGTACATTATTCAAGTCCAGCTCTAAAGACAGAATTATTAGTTTCCTCATGGGTTTTCCTATGGCTTTCATCACAACAGTATCTGATCACTTCACAATTATAAATCTACTTATTTTCATTACCACCCAGAGGTGAGGAGATGGTATTAGATCAGCTGTGCAGCTGAGGGACTAAGGCAGTGAGAGATCAAGATAAAAACTGTTCATTAATTTTGGAAGCTCTTTGGTAATGTGGCTAATCTGTTGGTGCTTTTTTTCCCAGTGTACTTAGCAGTGTATAATGTGCATTCAAAGCAGAGCTCTGTCTGGTTTGTGCTGGAGTGGGAGAGTTTATCACTTCCACCAGTTGCACCACATGTAGAAGTCAGATACCCAAAAGACAAGAAATGGGCATTTGTGGGTAAATGTGGCTTAAGTGATTTGCCTCATCATGACAGAGGAAATTGGACTAAGAAGCAAGAATTAACCCCAGTCCTCTTGGATAGCTTTATCTGATTACAAACTGGAGACAGTTTTCTCCCATCCCACTATTCCCTCCTTTCTTCACCAGGCATCTGAGTGCAGCAGAAGACCCTGGAGCTCTGCAGGCATCACCCTTGCCAGACTGCTTCACTTTCCAGGCCACCCTGTGCCCTGACCAAGGCATCTGTCAGCTTTTCTGCTTCTAAGGGCAAGCAGTTTCATATGGAAATTCTCAACCAGTCTCAAAGCATGTCCATAATGACATAAAAAAATAGAGAAAGGCAGAAATATAAGTGTAAACCCCATGGTTCTTACATTAAAACCCCCTGACCTCTCTTCAAAGATACACTAGAGAGACTTGAAAGCGTGCATCTCTCTGCTCATTGCATGCTGTGTGGCATGAATATTTCTTTGTTTCAAGGAAGAGCTAGTATGCTGAGTATTGCTCACAGAGATCTCTCTGTTGCTTATCAATAGCAATAAAATTGATCCCCCCCTCCCCCAAATATTTAAGTATTTCTGTTGACCTGTGGGAATTATTTCTAATTTCAAGCCTCTATCCTAGTGCCTCTTACAATAGCACCCAAAGCATGGAGCAGACTACAAACTGTGCTCCCTAATGGCATAGGGTAGTGCTGAATAACTAATTCTTCCTTGTCTATTTTCAATGCTGCAAGAGAAGTCAGAAAGTGGGCAAATGTGTGCAAAATGTGAGAAATCTGTCTGAAGGTCAAAAAGAAGACATGCTAAGGTATGAAGTTCTGTATTTTCTGTCAGAGCTTAATTTTTTTTTTTAATGCCCATATAATACTAAAAATATTGTGATAATATATACTGTTGAGTGGAAAAAAAAAAAAAAACCAACAAACCAACAACCAACCCCAAATACTTATAGTAACAAGAATACTTAACATAGTTCCCAAGTGACCAGAGGCTGATGAGTATTTTAAACCCTGAAGCCTCAGGAATTCTCCTAAAGCATTGCTCTGCTCCCAAGGAAAAGGGGAACAAAGTTAGAAATGTGTGTTCTTCTCAGAGTAGATTTTGAAAATAGCAGCAAATGCAGATTTTTTTGGCTCCTGATACAAATGCTGAATACTGTGAGGCTTCTGAATAACTGTTTAAGCTGCTCCTAGCTGCACGCACACATGCACACACGTTATATGCATGAAGTTCTTTAAAGAGAAGAACACATAGGCAGCAGTAGGGGAAAACTGTCATCCACACTGCTTCATCTAGGAATTTTGATAGGTCTATTATCATGGATAAAGAGTTCAATGCTTAAGGCTCACTCAGCACAGGACTTTTTTAGGTGAGATTTGTCCAGAAAAGCCACTTATCCTCTAAAGGTTGTTATGGTACTTGAGGGACAGGGGCACTGCCTCAGTTTACCTGATCTCTTAAAACCAGAATGGCACAAAGCTCCTTAGACATGACAAATGGGCAGCCAAATGACCCTTCAGGAAATCAAAGGAGCCACCACATATCTGAGGTGGCAATTAGCAGCCTTTACACTCAGCTGAGATTGCCTCTTTCCAGGTGGGTGTATTCCAGTGGTACCATATTCTCCAGGTGGGCTATTCTTTGAAAAAGCAATGTTAAATTGTGGAAATGTAATTGCATAACTATTACAAGTACAAAAATGGGGGAGAAAGTTAGGAAGGCAAATAAAAAGAAGCAGCAGCTGCTGCTGTGGGAGAGGACATTTGTCCCTTCAGGTCTGTGTGCCTCCTTGCCGAGGCTGCCACGGGCAGTGTGGGGATGGAGGAGAAAGGCATTTGCTCCCTGGCGGCGCGCACAGAACGTGTGACTGCGAGATACCAGCAAGGCACTTCTCTACACTGGAGTTACATTCCCAGGCTCCATGTCACACAGCAGCCAGGACACAGTGCTCTCAAGGAGAAGAAACTGCAATATTTTGAAAGCATCCTGTGCACTTCAGATTTCAGGTGGTTAATGCCGACACTTGATAAAGCATTTATACCCTGAGAGCCACTCCTGGTAAGAGTTCCCTTCACCACTGTCCCCCGAGCACCTTGACAGCATGTTGAAATGGGATCTGACAGAAATGGCAATTTGCACTTTATACTGTCTGAGGGAGGATGTTTGGGGCTCTTATCATGCTTTCCTATTCCTTGGAATCTATTGGTATCTGTGTTTGTTGCAGGGAAGTTACTTGTTAATTCTGTAGCTGCCTGTGGCAAAACAGTTTAATTTTTAAAATGTCCCAAGCTTACCATGTTACTAGTGGGAATGTTTTGAAGAGAAAATGAAAGAAAAAGTAAATTTCTTAAGTTATTTTTTGGCCAACCTTCTTTTCTTGCCTCTCCAAATCCCTATTTCCCCTCATGCAGTTTTCCCCTTGAGTGTAATAACTTGATTTACCATCGGCACTCCTGCAGTTCTATTATTTCCCCCTTATGGTTGCTTACCTGATTCCCAATGTCTTGTCTTCAGTCTCCTTTCCTTGCTTTAGCAGTTTCCCTTTTTGTAGTGAAGTTGAACTCCTCGTTCTCCTCAGTTGCTTCGTTTTATTCCTTTAATATGGTTCTCTCTCTCTCTCTCTTCCTCTCTTTTTCTCCACCCCCTTTCTGTGTCACTTTCTGCCTTTCCCCCTCTTCTTTCTTCACCTACTTTTCTTGTCTCTCCCACCCCCTCCAGACTAATCTTTCTATTTTCAAACCTGGTTTCCTGTTGTTTTTCCTTTAAAGACCATGGATCTCATTCCTCCCTCTCCATTCTCAGCCTCTCCCTGTGCCACCCTCCTCATGCCGACAGGATGCATTTGCTGCCGGCTTCGCGCAGTCCCTTCCAGCCCCTGCTCCTGCTCCTCCTCTGCACATCTTCCCACAGATAACACTCTATGGTCTAAGCCTTCCCCAAATGAAAAGAGACAGCCTTGCCCCACAGTTAGTCCAGTCAGACCCTAGAAAGCTTTTTCCACGCAAGACAAAAGACAATTCAACCAACAAAGGATATGTTTCTGACTCGTTCAAGCTTAATCTGGCAGAGTTCACGTGGAGCAGGGTCTTCCACCTCTTCAAATCACACAGAACTTGCTTTGCTGGCTTGGACCAAGGGCCCAGCACGGCTGCAGCCTTGTCCTAAAGGGCACCAAATGCTTCCCAGAGACTTTTTACATGCCCCCTTACTGATAAGTAGAAAATAATCTGCCTGTCAAGAGAGGTGTTTTTTGTCACACCACCCTACCACCACTTCCCTGCACACACAGTCAGACTCATGAGCATTTGGGCCTCTCTTAAAAATGTTTTTTGACTTATCAAGTGTCTGAAGGTCTTGTATTTCATGTGTGTGTCAAGCTGAGCCTCTAATTCCTGCACATCAGAATGGCCCAGTGAGGAGGCAGAATCAGAGATGCCTTCTGGCTTTGATAAAGGTCTCAAAGAATCAGTGGATCAAGATTTGCAGAGAAGACTCTGCTGACCTGAGAATCAACTTGCTGCATACAAGTTTTGGTGGTTATTCCTCCAGCAATCCTTCCCAGGCTAGATATCTCCCACCCAGAACACTGCCTGGTGGTCTCTATGCATCAGTGAGTGTAGATCATGAAATAAAAGCAGTCCAGGGACTAAAACACAATGCTGGCCAACTCTTATAATAATTTTTCTCCAGCTAATTTAATACCTCCTTTAGTCACAATATTGAAAGCCAGTCTACAAAGGGACAGTTCTGTGCAGAGGCTTTCTCTGGAAGCATGTCCTGTGTGGACACTGTCACTCTGAAGTTAGGAGTGCAACTCTTTTCCAGGAGGGCTGTATCCTCACTGATGGTTAGTGCAGGATGCAGGACAAAGAGTGCACAGTAAATCCCAGAGCAGCTCAGTAACCTCCTGCTATGGACATATCTATAGTCACATGCTGCTCCATTTCTAACTTTATTGAAAGCCCTTCTGTGGCTTTTAAGAAAATAGAAATGTTTCTGGAGTTGTTTCTCCCTCTTCTGTGTGGCAGTTGTGTATCTGCAAGGGAAATTCATGGGAAGGAGAATATCATTCCAGCTTTTTTGTCTTTGTAGAGTAATTTCACAAAGCATTATTATGTAAACTCATGTTGATTTTATGCCAGGGAGATTGTCAAGGAATTCATCATAGAAGTGTCCAAAAAAAAAAAAAGGTGCTAATAATACAGGTCCAGCTCACAGATGGCTTTGGGATAGGCTAGGGATAAGGCTTGTCAAGTGTTTTTCTACATGCTGTAGACAGAGAGGTCCTGTGAGAGAGCTGTCTGAAATGCACTCACCTCCCTGCGTGGCTGACACTTTGCTGTACACTCAGGTGATCAGGTCTGATTCTTCCTGCTCACTCCTTTTTGTTTCCTGCCCAAGGGTTGTTCCTGAGTGGCATACAGAGGTAATCCTGAATCCAGCAAATACAGTTCTGAAGGGAGGGGACAAGGTTTCTGTCCAACACATGCATGATGCACGGGAGGTACCTGTTGGGAGCTCTTTCTGGTTTGGTGCTAGTGGTAACTATTTGGATTTTGATGCACGGAAAGGAAATGGTAGAAGGCAGACAGGGAGGCAAAAGACAGAAAGGGTACTAGAGATGTCATCAATGTCATTCCTTCTCTACTGCACCCTCTTCAAAGGAAAACAGAGGAGTCTTGGCAGCTTCTCTAGCCTATCAGATAGAAAAATAGCTGGTTTGCTCAATCTTTAGCAAGGAAGAAGAATTTTGACTTCCCTCCCCAAGAACCTGTTATGCAAAACTTGTCTGACTTGAGTAAGGAGAGCAAGTGGAAGAGAATGGTGCCCCAGACAGTGGGAATGAAGAAAACAGCTGACAGCTTGAAGATCACAGCAGTTTGTGATGCTGTGCAATGCATTTTGAAGGAAAGCAGAAATAAAACTGGGAGGGAAAGGGAAAATCAAACAATATGTACTATCTTTTGATCAAAACTTAAGAGCTTTCTTGGATTAGGATTCCTGACCCCTGTGGTAAAAGGAACAGAGCAGCTCTTACCTACCTGGAGTTCAGTAAACCGTATGATATGGTGTCCCAGAAGAAGCAAATTAATGTAGAAGATTCAGCTGAAGAAGACAGGGATTATTAAATAAATCCTCAAGTGAGTAAGAGACTGACAGAATTGATACA